AGATGCGTCTGTTAGCTGTTTTATGTCCTTGGAAGGCTAGGGAAGAGGAAAAAATAAAACCTACAGCAACTGACACACTTCACACACAAATTTATTGCGTGGTGCTTAATATAAAAAGTCATTACACTCGCCTCCGCAGTAAAGGGCCTATGATACACGACTTTCTCCGTTCATAGGCCCGACGACCTTACCATGCTGATGAGCCCTAATAACGGACCAGTTACTATTTATCGCCGGGGAGTGTCGGAGGAATTTGTTGGGGGAAAATCACTTGATTTTTAGGAGAACGGAAGGGGGCATCATTCGTAAATTGAGATCATTGAAAGTTTTGAATGATTCAGAGGGAGAACCACAGTGACCTCTACTTTACAATTAGCCTCTCTACCGAACCGCACCTTTACTTCTGACGAACAGAAAGCACTGAAACGACTAAAAACCGACGAGGATATAGTCATACTGCCTGTAGACAAGGGACGGGTGACTGTTCTTATGGACAAGACAGACTACAACGAAACAAATGGACGCCCTTGTTAACGACAAACAGACCTACTAAGTACTTAAACGAGACCCGACAACCGCACTGCAACGCAAACTTAACAAAAAAACTGCTTACACTGAAAAAAAGCCGACAATATCGACTTTCGACGCTACAGCAGACTGAGACTGAGGTGTAGTGTTCTGCAGCCACCGAAGCTGTATGGACTAACGAAACTTCACAAACCCAACATGCCTATGCGGCCCATAGTTTTCTTCTGTGGGTCTCGACTTATCAACTGTCAAAACACTTAACTAAGGTAGTGAAACCTTTGACTGGCGAATCTGGACATTAAACTACAGTCTACTGAGAACTTTATTGACGCCATCAAGACAATACAGATAAACTAGTGTCTTTAAATATGAAATCACTGTTCACCAGTATTCCACTTCCACTTCAACCGGCTCTAAACTGCACTGAGAACGCTATTAAGACGCTATTAACTCTACTGTTGAACTACCACCAACCTACACACGACATTATGGACCTACTCAACCTCTGCCTAACGTAGACGTGCTTTCAGCATACAACGGCAAACACTACAAACAGTTACACAGTACAGCTATGGGCTCTCCAGTTTCTGTTGTTGCAGCAGAAATTGCTATGGGCCGAGCTGTTCAAAGCTGGGTTAAGATAACCCATGGTTATTGCGAGATTTGAATTCAGATTTGAAAGCTTAAAAAGCATTTCAGTTTTAAATCTTTTTGTCTACAGGTTGATGATTGGAAGCTCTAAAAATAACAGAGATAATTATCCAAGAAAATGCTTTTGAGCATAGCAAGGAAAAGAAACCAGGGTTAAATTTAACCCCAGGGTAAGCGCTAATCGGCCTTCGAACAACTGGGCACGGGTCGTTACATGCGGCGTTTTATGATTTGATCTTGTTTTCTCCATTATCTTCCTTGAATTTAAACTTAGACCGCTTTGTTTAAGACCACAACCACTTTGGACCTTAACTTTGTTTCACATCACGTGACCAGCCACGCCCATAATTATGCAAAATTTGGACCCTGCAGATTACACCATTCTAATGAATGTGACCGGAATCGTTTTTCTTTTCATAATATTTCATTTGCAGTCAAATAAGCAAAGTTAATCGGGGATTTGTGAAATGATCCGTTCCTTCATAATTACAGTCGACTCCCGATAACTAGAACCTTCAAGGGAAATCGAAAAAGGTTCGAGTTATCGGGAGCTCAAAGAAAATAGCCGGGAGTAAGGAAAAAAACAGTTTTTGCTGCACATTTAAAATGCTGAGTGAAAATTGAAAGATACTGTTAGATTATAAATCAGAACGTTAAGTAACAAAACGTTGCCTAAATAGAGCATGCATTTTACTTTTTGAGAAGTAAGCTATTTTACGTTAGATTTGTGGCAAACAACATCACATACAATATCGATCCACTAGTAAACTATATGCCTACAAGACGACAATGGGAAATTCAAAATTCAATGTTTTGGAGGCAGTGCACTCTTTTTTCCCGACTTTTTAAGGGCTCAAAACATGGTTCGAGTTATCGAGGGTAAAATTATATAGAAATGATCTGAGGGGAAACAAAAATTACTTCCAGTTAGCGGGAGTTTCGAGTTGGCGAGGGTTCGAGTTACCGAGGGTAAAATTACAGTAAATGTATGACGGAAATCCAGGGGAAATCGACTTTGGTTCGAGTTAGCGCGAGGTTCGAGTTAGCGAGGGTTCGAGTTGTCGGGAGTCAACTTTATTAGATATTTTTCTTTCGTCCCAGTCTCCCTCTTAACAAGAAACGTTTTAGTTTACAAAACGTCGATTATTTAAGAAAACCCTGATTAATTCCATAAACTTTGTGTCGATAGTCATTGACAAAAAATAAATTAAATCACAAGTGTTATTCCTAAAGTGGTGCAAATTTGGATTGCAATAAAAAGTCCAAAAATGGGTGTGGCAAGTCACATGACAAAGATAATACATTAGTAATACTGAAAACTGAATGCTTATGGGGAGTAGATATTAAATTTAAAATATTTATGCGAAAGGTAAAATCCCTACTAAAACAGGCTACCCCTCCAAATTTGCAGTGCCCCATTCCTTAATTCACCGGAGCAGAACATCGAGGAACAAGTCCTAGCTACTTATACGCGAATTATACCTCTTTGGTTAGGCTACGTTGACGACACTTTCAGCGCTGTACGAAAAGACGAAATCGACGATTTTCACGAACACCTTAACAAACAGAACGCGGACATACAGTTTACCAAGGAGATCGAGGAAAATAATAAAATACCTCGGTTTGGTCACTCGCGACAACATCAGACTACGAACGACAATTTACAGAAAACCCACACGTACCAACAGATTACTAGACCAGTCATCGTACAACCCGACCCCTCACAAGGCTTCAACTATGCGGACTTTGACGAGACGATGGCAATTAGTGTTCGACTCGCTTGACAGCTTACAAGACGAGACTGACTACCTAAAAAATTAACGTTTTTAGTAAAAACAAGACGCACAAGTGAGTGAAGTCGGGCTTCTTTTTGTTGACATTAATAGGGCGAGAAATGTGCTTTTAACGCACAATAGACAATTATTGTACTACAGCCCACATTGACTTTGATGATGTTTATTCCGTGATTCAAAGAGTTCAACTGTTCCAGATTTTTCAGGTTCTGTTTTTCATAGTTGTATTTTACTTTTCTAGGTCTCGCAGCGGCAGGTAGTGGTATGATTAGAAACGCTTTTCCGAGTAGTTCTCGAACAGTGCTGTCGGTAAAATATCAACTGAAAGCGCTTTTTTTTTTGGTTCTATGGGGCGTTGCGAGAGTTTATTTGATATGACAGCTTGTCAATCCCTGGTCCAATCACAGTTTCAATAAAATAGAAAGATTCAACCAATCAATGAGCTTGTTTGCGTCATTTGTACGCGACAAGACAATGAAATGCGCGAATTTACTATTTGCTCTGCTGGCTTTAGTTTACCACTCAGCCAGGTGGACTGAGTATTAGAGAGAACCTTTAAAGGATCATTAGCTATCATTCGCCGTTTTTATAAGGTATTCTCTGGTAAGTGTGTCCGTAAAGCGGGATTGACGATATATGGGAGTTTGTGACTCGGGACACAGGAAAATGTCCGTTGTTCGGATTAATCGATGCATGTCCGTAATATAGAGATTTAGCCAGGGCTAAAAGCGAAGCTCAATATTTATAGTTTGCTGAAACAAAGTATAAAATCGTGTAATGCTAAGCGGCGAAGGAAACAAGAACGGTGAAAACACAACAACAGGTCTCTAATTTATAGCAAAAAAGCGACTTTGCATGTGCAGCACACTTTTTTGTTCATTTCTTTGCCGTTGTTTTGCACGACTACAACGTGAAACTTCCAGGAACTTCCTAGTAGCACGTTTTATGGAGGAAATGTCAAACGTGTTCTTGTTCACTTTTTTTTTACTGCCTCTCAGTTGCATTTGGGTTGCCATACCTGTTGATTGAGTTACTTTACAGTGGTATGCCTGTGGTGCCGACGGCGTACGGTCACGTGATACCAAGATTTCTCAGATGGGTAGATTAGCACATTTTCTTATGTATGGGCCTACACTCGTGAGCGCTCCGCGCGCATGGAGCTCCGCTATAAATTAAAGCGGGTTAATTTTAGAGAAAATACATGAGCTTTTGATCGGGGCAAACGCATCTGTCTGTTATATACGGGTGTCCATCTAAAGCGGGTGTCCGTAGAGCAGGGTTTCACTATCGTTCAATGTTTCACCAATATTACAACACCCTCAGAGGCAAGAGGTGTGGGAGCGTACTCAGATTCGAGGCCTGGAATTGTAGGGTAGCAAGCAGGATTTGAATTGGTAATTTTAGTTACAGTGACTCCTATAATATTGAAATGAAAATTTAAGTAGTTCATTCAAAACATGGGTTTGTAGCTTTTCTAAAATACGATTTATACTAAGAATATTGTTTTGGAAGATCGAAAATCGTGGTTACTAGAAGAATTAGGAAGAGACCTAAAATGATCAAAAATGAGCTACAACGGCATCTAAAATGACCTAAAATAAGCCCCAGCGTGAAAAGGTACAGGGCGTAAAATAAATATAATCTGTCTCAAATGACCTTACCCTGCGAGCAGAGGCTACATTTTCGTGGCGTAAATTAGCGTGCGAAATAGCCTCTGCCGACACAGGGGCCCAGACTCACAACAGCCTCCTCGAAGCCAAATTATCAGGATTTGTTTGGGAATTTATCGCAAGATCGATAAAACGATTAAAACGCACATAAACAGCAATCAAAGTGTACATACCTTATAAAGAGATTTCTCTGTGTTGTTTTCTTACTGTTGCCTGCCCTATAAACGTCTTTTTAGCAAGTTTTGATGTTTTAGTCTCTCACCTACTACTACTCTGAGCTATATACCCGTTTGAAGTTGTAGCTCGTTTTATGTGTCTTCGCTAAATGCAACAGCTCTTGTAAACGTACCACAGAGAGTCAGACGATAGAATATATGGCAACTTGACCAATTTCAGTTGAGGAGGGTGGACCAAGATCACCCGCTGATAGTTCGTTGGTGTAGTTTCTTGCTGCCATGATCACAGGCAGCCCAGACATATTGTACGTCAATACCGGTATTAATAAGGCATTATCAGGATTATAGATCGACAAAAGAGGATCAGAGCTGGAGAGTCGACTATATTCGACTGAGCAGGAGTCGACAAATATGTAGTAGTTCCAAATAAATATCTGCTTTACCATTATTTCATTGCTGGTAACAGCCAAAGCTTGTATAATGGATCGGATCAAATTGAGCCTAAATATCAAAATATTACAAAACAAAGCTGTCATACCTTTGACTAAATGTTGCTTTGCTGTTCCTGGCCGGTTTAAATGGCATTTTGTTGAGGTTTGCACCCGCAGGTTGTATTCAGTAATTTATTTATAAATCTATTTTGAACTATTACATATTTGCTGACTCCTCTTGAGTCGAAAATAGTAGTTTTCTCTTCAAAGTCCGTCGAGTACGCGTGATAAAAAATAAACCGCGCGGGATTTATTGACAATTACAAATGTGAGGATTTAATACCTCCGCCAGGTCACCAGTGTCCGTCACAGAATAACTTTAACAAAATCGCGACTAAGCAATCATAAATTCGTTAAAGAGACAGGTCGATACTTACTGAAGACCATGTTAAAAACCTGAAGAAAGGATATGTGTTATTTGTAAAGTAGAAATGGATGATGAATATTAGTTTTTAACTGTATGACCCGCTTTTTAGGAGAAAAGAAACGTTCTATTCAATGGCCGTTTTTATACTAAGGACGCATTATCCGTCTGGACGAACCTGGGCAAACATTTTGTAGTTCGTCTGGGTTATGCGTCTCTAGTATAAAGACGGGCACAAGACGCATTGTGCGTCCAGACGAACTACTTTTCGTAGTGCGTCGTTCAAGACGTATTTAGAAGGTAAGTTCGTCCAGACGTATAATTGCGTCTTATACCCATCTTTACACTTGAGACGCATAACCAGACGAACTACAAATGTTTGCCCAGGTTCGTCCAGTTGGATAATGCTTCCTTAATATAAAAACGGCCATAGATGCATTATCCATCTGGACGGATAGTGCGTCCTCTAATATAAAAACGGCCAATGCGTCCTTAGTATAAAAATGGCCAATTACTTGAAAAACGAGCATCTGATGAGAGTGAACAGAATGTCATCAAATAAAATATTCATCCCCCAGGGGAAAGGCTGAAATCCACAAATTAAGAACAAGGCAGGTGTTTGAATGTTTCAAGATAAGAAAAAAGAAGGAAGACAAAAGTGAGTAATACTATAAAAATATACGTGTGTAATTATCTCCATTTATTATAACTTGCTACAGTGCAATTAATAGTACATATTGTAATTTTGAATTATTTAGAAAACGTTGATCCATCAGAAGGTATACGACTCCAAATAAAAATATTGTCTTTTACTTGTCTTTGCAACTCCCCCAAGAAAAAGAAAAAGGGGCAGTGCTAGTTAACCTTGACATGAGCACTATTGTAATCACACACTCATGCTGATCGACGTAATTATATTTTTACTGTCTTAAAAGAAAATCAGAATTTTAATTGATGAACTTGCATGTAATCGACGTTGTCCAAAACTATACTTACTTCGGCACTCGCATCGCATCTTTCAGAAATTGTACACTTTCGCTTGAACACCTCCGACAAAAACTGAAGCTCTTCAGCCTCAGGCAGCACACGGATTTGAATGAGTCTTAAGCCCTCATTTGCGCGTAAAATTTTTGACTCGATGATTTCACCGATTCTAACCTACAACAGTGAAGTTTGGGGTGCTTTTGTTAAATCAGATTTTAAGTCCTGGGACAGCTCTGCAATTGAAAAAAGCCACTTGCAATTCTGTAAACGTTATTTACAAGTACATAACAAGACATGCAACACTGCTTGTAGAGCTGAACTCGTTAAATTCCCCATGATCATTGATATGAATAAAAAAAATCTAAATTACTTAATAGACTATCTGATAGGTAAAGATGAAGATTCCATAGTTAAACAGGCCTTACAAATTTCAATTGACCTTCATCATAACGGAAAAACAAGCTTTTACTCTAATATCATGAAAATGGTAGAGTACTACGATCTAAACTATGACTTTTCCTGTAATTCATTGAGTGACTCAATAGTTAATCGGTATATCGGCATAATGAAAAATAAATACGTCTCTTACTGGAATCAGACCCTTCAACAATTACAAAAACTCAGTTTTTATTGTACAATCAAAGACGACTATAGCCTCTCGCCGTACCTAGTTTTAACAAGAAAAAACCCTTCGACAAAAGCATTAGTAATACGTTTAGAATAAGTAGTCATCAACTTAGAACTGAAACACGTCGATACGAAAAAATCCTTCGCGATGAAAGGATATGTTACTTTTGTACAAGTAACAAAATTGAAGATGAAAATCATTTCTTACTAGATTGGAAGGCTTATTCTCAGATCAGAGACATATTTTTCTCCAAACTAGAAACTAAAATACCTGACTTCAATTCACTTTCACACGATACTTTAATATCTCTTCTTATGAATTCTTTTGATTATTTGATTAACTGTCAATTAGTTTTATTTATCTTGCAATGCTTTAAATTAAGAACCAAATTAATATCAATGAATGAATGAATGAGAACTGTAACGTTCTGTGATGTTTTGCAAGTACTAATTAGTTGAATCAGTTGTTAAATTTAGACTGATAGCTATTGCAATACTGTAATTCCTTTATGGTCATGCAAATAAAGCATTTGTTGTTGTCGTTGTTGCATGGGTTTCGAAAATTTATAACCTTCTTTTTTTTAGCAGATCACTGGAGAACAAACGTTGCTTACTATAGATAATAGCTAAATTGAATTGAAAAACGTCCAAAATTTAATGAATTTGCACTACCAAAATCTTAATAACTTTTACTAAGCAAAGCACAAGACAGTAGAACATCGCTTACGATCACATCGCACTATTTTTGTTACGGTTTGGATATCAAGGCGCAGGTATGAGATTCCGGGCAGAGTTTCTAGGTGTGAACCTTCCATAAGGTCTTTACCCACTGGCGATGAACCGAATAATTATTCTCCTTCTCTTGGGTATTCCAGTGAGTCTTCAAGTTAACTTGATTATTTTGCATTTCAAGTTTCCATCATGGTTAACGGGACAACAACTGCACTGTAAAAACAGCCTCGATCATATTGTAAAATGATTTTAAATCTGAATAATCAGTGAATTCCAAATTGTAGACTCGTTTCCTTGTAATAACAGAAGCGATTTGTCTCAGGTTTCCACTGTGATGGGCTCCAACTCTTCGCTTTCGGCCGGCATACTTCCTTACATTGGCAACTAATTTTCCAGGTTGGACCATAAGGAGATCTGTTTTGAGAAAAAAAGGATCGTTTTTTGTGAAGAGTTGATTATCGCAATAGAAGCGGACAACCTGCCCCGTTTTATACGTTAAATAGTATAACTGAATCAACTATTTAACTGTCTAGTAAGTATGAGTACGAGCAGCTTTCATAGCAATTTTTATTGAACCAATAAAGTACGTATGGAGCGATTTTTGTTTGTCCTTGAAATGATTATGCTGGAATAAACTAAAACGTAAAAACGAAATATATATGCGAATTGGATTGGCATACAACGAATGCAAATATGGCCGACCTCTCGGCCGGCCCGGGTCTAGTTGCGAGAAAGCGAGGCTAGTGAGGCCTTGAAGAGTTTTGTTTTCACTGCGCGTCTTAGCGATTGAGTCGATCGATATGGTTTGCTTCGAGTTGTTGCATGCCTGAGGGCCACCAAAAAGAAGATTTTACTCTAGCTGGAATAGCCTTTACTTTCCCGAGATCTTTTCACAAAGAAACTTAAGGATTCATGCGATTCGGCGTGGCGATGTGAAGCACTTTACAGCGAAAGTGTGCTCGCTTCACTTGCTTTAGATGAGAAGACTCACGAAAGTATTTGAATGAAATAATTTTCACAAGAGATGGTGCTGTTCCAAGATGTTTGCATGGTCTGTTATTTATCCAACAAAAGGTAAACATTCTCGAGAACGGGAGCATACGCGGTGGACTGTAAGATCTTTTAGATTTCACGCTGAATACAGCTGCATTAAAATATAACAACAATAACAATCGCCTGTTAATCCTACAAGGGTGGCCTGTGAAACTATGTAAGAACCAGAAGAAAGCGACATATTTCAAGAATAGTCCTTGACCAAAGTGCACTGAGAAAACTAACAGAGGAATCGTTGCCAACTAAGAAAGTAAGAAGAAGGAAAAAGGTTCTGGAAGAGAAAGAGCGTGCAAGTATTCGAACCTTGTATTTGACTTTGCGCGTGATCTATTTTAGCAACTTGGCGAATGGTTTCGAGATAAACTAACAGCGATTTTCCAAAAATTGCTTCTTTTATGGCACTGCTCAAACCCTTGAACAAAGGATCGTGAAGACTGTGAAAAAAACATTCGGCCTTGTTGTCTGTCGTTGTGTCCCTGAGAGCGCCTAAAGATTGATAAGTCGCGACGGCGGATTCACTCGTTGCGAGGATATTTACCTTTCCTTGGTAAGACAACGGACAAAGCAAACTTGAAACAGAACCATGAATCTTTCAGTTATTCACCCATGCTTATAGTTTCGGGAGTCTTCTCTTCTGAAGAGAAGCGAGCACACTTTCGTTCTTTTAAAAAATAACTCCGTGATAGTAGAGTGCCTCCATTCGCCGCGCCGAATTGCTTTAATCCATTTCTTTCTTCGTAAAGAAGTTTGGCAGATAATCAGCTTTCGTCTCTGCTGGAGTTAACTTTCCTCTTTGATGGCTCTTAAGCACGTAACTACTCGAAGGAAACCATACGCTAAGAAGCGCAGTCAAAACAAAACTATCGAGGCCTCACTAGCCTCGCCTTCGCGCAACTAGACCCGGGCCGACCGAGAGATCCGCCATATTTGCATTCGGTGTATAGCCAACAGAATCAAATGCAAGTAATTTGCGATGATTTGAGACTACAGCAGCGGCTAAGCTGCCGATTGGACAATCGAACGTTTTTTGTTGTTTTTTTTTTTTTCAATTTTTTTTTCATCTTGGAGTTCCCTTTTACGGCAAAACGATGAATCCATGGATTGACTGATGAAAAGGAACACTCATGAAAACCATTTTTCGAAGTAAAAAATAAATAAATAAATAAATAAAAACATCTCTGTAATTCCTTCAAACTGGTAAATTAATTTTACCAAAATAAAAGTGGGAGTGTACCCTCACGATCTTGCAGTCTGTGAAGTGAAGTGAAGTGAACTCATTTCAAGACCCGGCGGCAGCTTGGCTTTTCAACGCCTTAAATCATCCGAGAAACAAACTCTATTGTCATCTAAATGTGAAAAACTAACAATTGTTAAAATTGTGAGTGCCATTAATGATACATGTCATATAAGACAGCTCATTTAAACAGAAGGCGCCCATTTTGAATTCGCGTAAGTCGTTAAGTACCGCGATTGTTAAGGGAAACCGGAACTTGTGACACTGCACAGTCAAATGAAAAGCGACCATAAAACCGTCTGTCTACATTTAACAAAGCTACTCAGGTGGGGTGTGCACTACAATTGCGATGCATTGTGCATGTAGGATTTTCAAGATGGCGGCGAAGGTCGAGAAAGTTCGCAGGTTATATACTTCGTTTTCCAATAGATATAGTTCTTTTCTTAAATCGTTTTTCCTAATTCCATAAACTAACATTTATGTAGATTTTTTACTGTGAGGAAAAAAAAATCAATATTCCTCATTACAATCTAAAACAAGGAGCACGAAGATTCCTTGAACCCGTTTAAATGAGGAGCTATAATTTCCATTGTATTACCAATTGACAATAGAAAATCGTTTAAAGTGTTTGTTCAGAGCTTTTTCTACGCCAAGATATTAGCGCTCCCCAACGCGCCCCACTTTTTGTAATAGTTTTTTTCGAATTAAAACCGGCATGTCAGTTTTCATGGGAAAGCTATAGGCTCGCAAAGATGGATGTGACATGTCCCTGGACACTTCTCATCAACAGAACAACTCTTTTTCTTTCACTAGAGGATACTTCCCGGGAAATAGCGAACTGCAGTAACTAATAAATAAGGACTAGGTTTTCACGATAGCAAAAACTTAAGTTTATTACTCATTTTCTACGGCAAAATTTTGCATGTGGTGTCACTACAAATTCTCTTCATCCTAGTTAAATCACACATTTAGACATCCATTCTCGCAAAGCGAGTTTGAAAATTTGTCGGGCGCGCAGCGCGCTGCAACGCGCACGATAATAGGCTGATTTAGCAGCAGGACGGGAACATCAGTTGACGACGGGGAAGCGCGCGACGCGACTTCCGATGCTCAAATTGCCGCTCTGCCATTGGTCAAGCCAGTAGTTGGATTTGCGTCGTCAACTGACGTTCCCGTTCTGTTGCTAAATCAGCCTATTATCGAGGCGTGATCTTCTTCTGGTCATAAATATCTCTCTATCGGCTTAGATGAAAGCAGTTGTTTGACAACAAGGCAGCGTGTAGGCAAAACCGCCATCAACCCGGCACTATTTCTTTAGCGGCCGTTTAAGAGATCAAGAAATGCTCTTAGCGATAAATTCGAATGTTGAAGTACCTTTTACAGAAATTGGATGTGATTTGAACCACTAGCTTCCAAATAACTGCAGAAATCGAGAAAAGAATTAAAAATATGTTTTGCGTCCTACTTCGCAGACGAGTTGTATCGGCTTTGCTCGGCATATGTTCTTTCATTGCCATGAAATGTGTTTACATTGGTTTTTTACTGTCAAAAAGCCGGTTATTTTCCTGAAATATACCTTTGAATTCGTGTTGTATACTTTCTTTCTTGAAAGCGGTCCACGAGTGGCCGGATATTCTGAAGAAGCTCCAACCATTTAAGGAGTATATTATTAAAGCTGTGCATATCAGTACCTCTCAGCACTAGTTGCACTGATTTGACGGTGAAATCAAAATTTTCGGCGAACCGCGGGTCCAGTCAAGCATATACTGCCAACTGTTACCGATCAGATTCAAGCAGGATGCAAGCGGATTACGAACAAAGTACACTTTTCAACGGAATGGGAATGTTTATTTATTTATTTATTTATTTATTTTATTATTATTATTTTTTTAGAGAATTCGACAGACTTTGTTTTTCAAAAGTTTCAGGAAGAGAATTAAAGCAAAATCGCTTATTTCTACAGCGTTTTCTTCCAGCAAATTGCTTCATATTTTCTAATGTTGGTTGTAGGCGCGTGCCCTACACGTCAAGTTTTACAGAAGTAAAGGACGGTCACGCTCTCCATGGAAGACTGACGCACGATAAACTGCTGCGGCCAAGAAAGTATGACGGTTGTGTTCCCATCCTCTCAGCCTTGGGCCTAGAGTGTTTTCTTTTTTTGGGCTAAACACGATGAAATTTAGCCGATCCCCCCCCCCCCCCCCATGTCTTTGTACCCATATTCACCTTTCGACGTGTATATTTAGTGTTTTAAACGTTCATATATAGGTAGTATTTCTAACTATGATGTACTTATAGCATAATAAAGCCGTTATCGCGCTCTCTTTTTTTAAAAGTGTCTCTTGATCGGTGTCTTTTTCTAGTCTGGATCCAGACATCTGAATTCAGTTGACATACAAGCAATCTTGCTTGAAACTGCAATCAGTGCTTGAAACTGCAAAGTTACTTTTTTAGAGTGCCAAATAGCAGTCCGTCAAGTCCCTATCAGCAGGTCATATTTAGCGACAATTTTCAGAGGACCACACTCTAAAGTCATTTGCAGGCGATGAGTTGGCCTATTTAGAAGAAGCACATAGGCGAATCACTACACTGCACGAGGAACTTCAGTCCGCATCCAACAAGTTGACAACAGCGCATATTAACCTGTCAAAGAAGTTTCCTTTGTGCGCGAGAAAATCAACAATGTCAAGAAGAAAGAAGGAAAATATGAGGAAGGTCCGAAAAACCAAGGACAAGCGACTCAAGCAGAGGGCACGTCATCTCTTAGGAAACTTGACCTCAATCGAGGTCGCGGGGCAAATTTTCGGTTCAATCGAAGAGAATGATAGAGTTACTCCTGTA